ACTAACGCGTAAACGCGGACTGAGTGGTGGCGTATTTCCCACTTGCCTTATTTCCCAAACTAATAATCGTAAGTAACCTCGCAGTTTTAGGCCGCGGTATCCTTTCGGCTTTGTGGCGTGCGGAGGCGTGGTTCGTGGGTGTCCCACGAACTTCCAAGGGTGATTTGGATCCAGTGGCCCCCAAGCTCACGGGACACACTGTTATTCACATACTGTGACGTCACATTCTATATAACGTGAATTGTGTCAAATTACATAGAATACCATGTCACATTCGTTGAAACATGACATAGGTACGCCTACCATGCACTGAGCCCGTAAGGGCAGAGCGATGCGGGGGACCTTATCTCCTTCTGGTAGAGACAGTCTTGGGGACTGTCTAAAAATCAAGAAAAAAAAGTAATAATCTGGATGTGATGACCTCTAACCTCGGTATTTTAGGTCCGTCCGTACAAGCAGCCCATTCGTCTACCGGAACATTTAAAGTCCAGGATCACAAGTGGTGGTCGTCTTGCGCAGTGTCAGTTCACTCTAAACCTTTTATTAGAAAACTTGCCTAGTAACTACTACAGGCTTCTGCTGTGGTTTATTATCAATGAATACTTTAACCCAAAGTTGTTCTTATTATTACTTAACGTTTTTCTAGTATTATATAATACCTGAAATTTGTTGGGACGAAGGATGTCCTAGCTGCATTTTGATTTCGCCCGAAAATCACGAAGAGCCCTGGCAACTTTTTTCACAGGGAATTCATAGTAAGTTCTGCTGACCTGTTTGTAGTGTGGTGCTCGAAACTTCATGTTTGGCTCACGCTGGCTCACGCCCCAAACCACGTTAAGATTCTAATAGATTTCTGCGACAGAAGTATGGGGGCGCGGAAGGCGCTAATGGCGAAGCAATACTTTTGTTGAAGTGAGTGTAATAAAATGAGAAAGGGGTATGGCGGGGGAGTGAGGAGGCAGGGGGGAAGATGCAGTGGTGGTCAACGGATTCCGATGCTCTCTGGCGCGGCCGCTGCCGGGGCCGGGTCCCCCGCCTGCCTCATGCTGATGGTGACAATACTCTTTGTCTGACACAGAGCGGGGCCGCAGATCCGCGCTCCTCTTCACCTCCACTTTACCCCTCCCGCCCGCGCAACAGTATCTAAAAGGGGACTATAAATCGCTATAAATATGTAAGGGCAGTTCTTGTAACTAACATGAATTCTGCATAACTGAGGTCAGAGATACGATATTGTAACAAGCTAGTTAGTAATAATCATAGGTAATCACTACACCTCTATGCATTTTTTGCAAAGTTATGCATGAAATCATTGTGCTTACCTTATTATGGCTGCTTGAAAGTTTTCAATTCTTATACAGGGTGGGTGATCCGCGCCGTGTTTTTTTCTGCTTACGGATTCATGCTTGCGGATGGGTTGCATACTCGTAGGGGACTATAAGGCGCCATGGCGAGCTGTTGTAGAGTTGGATGCACGCCCGCGCGCACGCGTGAATCCAGCACAGTGAGCTTCCCGTTGGATGCAAGCCTGCCCGCACGCATGAATCCAGTAACGGAAGAAAAAGCACGGCGTGGATCACCTACCCTGTACACAACATCTAATGCGTAAGGATTTAGTGTGTATTATTTGTTACAATATTGTATGTGAACTGAGTTATGCTCACAGAAGTCCGGTACCAGCAACAATAATATTTCTGAGGCATTTTGGAGGAGGGACGTGAAGGAGCATTTCGCCTTCGCCACGCAATCTCTGCCATTTTGTGTTAGTCATCAATTTATTTCCATATGGCATTTTCGATTTACCCCGGACAGGAAACACAATTGTTTGAATGTTGTACACTTGTAGAAGTGTGAATTTTCATTTCATTTCCGACACCCTCAGGAGTGCAAGTTTGTGAGTGATCCTCGGAAACAATCCATGCATTGTATAGAATCAGTCCCCCACCTCCACCCACAAGGGTGCGACATTCACACACTTTAGATATTTATTACGTATAGTAGAGCACGTACACTATGTTATTTAAATACTGCGACGTCACATTCTCTGTAATGTGTATTGTGTCACATTATTTAGAATAGAATATCAAATTACATTCCTTAGACTGTGACTTACCCCTGCATCGCTCTGCCCTCTCAGGCTCAGTGCATGGTAG